AGAAAAGTAGCAGCCATAAATCCACATCTATGTTCGCCCAACTTTACATTTGTTGCGCTGTCATCCAATTATTTACAGAAGCAGCTGTGTTTTGTTTAAGCAACAGACATAAGAATGTCAGGTTGCTAGAGCATTGGGCTTTAGTGGGGCAGACTGGGTTTCCGACAGAGCACAAATAAATGGGAGGCAATGCAACATTCCGCCATAGAAAAGCAGTAATGAGATGTGATACTTATTTTAAAAATTTAATAGTTATGCAGCTGTTAAAATGACAAAAGTACAGCCAGATAATTGGTACTAATCTTAGCTCAATCCCAGCTGAACCTCTCAACCAGTCCATATCTATAACATGGGAACCGCAATGTCTTAGCATGCGAAAAATCAAGATTTTAAACGGGACTGCACATACTTGAAATGCAAATAATAAGAAACAGTTCTGGAATATTATTTCATGTAGTACAGTTTATTATAACAGCAATATATACCCTTACTGGAAGACCATTTATCAGAGGACAGAAGTGAACCTCTAGAGTGCTATAGGCTTCACCTGACTTAGAAACAAAGGTTTAGGAGGGCCTTGAAACCATTAGACAAAGAAGGCAAAGTTCTGCCAAGTCCTAGGAGAGTGGTGTATAACTTGAGGTCCCATGTAGCTTTCAAAACTTTGAGTGCCCAGAGCCATTCCTAAAGCTGAACATAGTATTTTTCAGCGAGACAAAACAATTATTAAATGTAGGTTATCATACCTGGGCTGCAAAAATCCAGGCTCCCACTACATGTCTGTAAAAAGTTAATGTTTTCTGTATCTTTTAAGGATGGACTTCTTAAATCTAAGCATCTACTAACAAGGAACTGTGTAACTCTACTAGTACTCCTAAATGTGATCTGTCATAAATGGATGACTTTAAGTTCTTACTGAATTTTCATAGTAACAAAAGCAAAGTAAAAATCATTGCCTGGTCAAAGTTCAGAACAACCTTATGAGAGTTGTTGAAGTAAGGAGATTTATTTTTAGCTCTATATCCCACCTTTCATTCAGGAACTCCAAGTAGCATTACATAGTGCTCCCTCCTCCTATTTTCACCCATAACATGTGTAGAGATAGGTTGACTGAGTGTGAGTGACTGGTCCAAAGTAATCTAGAGAGTTTCCATGGCTAGAGGTAGACAATAACCTGGGTTGTTTCATTCCTAGTCCAACATGAGATGTCTTTGCTAATAATTATTGCTATCAGCAGGCCCTCATGCAAGCCCTTTAGGAACAAAGGATTATTTGCTTTAAGAAATTTTGCCAAAATAAGTACAACTATTTATTTTGAATGGGCATCTATCATATCCAAATCTAGCTACATTTGGGAAGGAAAAGATGGTAGAAACAACAGTTGCAAAAAACTAAGCATATGGAGCAGAAGCAATTCTATAGTAGTGAACATCAAGAAGCAAAATGCTTTTATAACTAGGCCCATAACCAGACCCAGAAACTTTTTAAAGGGTAAGATTATTCAGAGACTTACTTGATGATCATTACCATTCTCCAATAATCAAGGCCCTGCTGGCTTGGAGTTCTTTTATTCATTTATTTATTTATTTATTTATTTATTTATTTATTTATGCTTATATGTCACTCCAATCCGGACTCTAGGAATCGTCAGCAAGTAGATTAAAATAATAAAACAATATAACAAAGGAGCACCTAACAATACCCTCCCCCTCAAAGACTAGGGCCACTGGGGAACAATAAACATCCAAACACTATCCCGGGTGGGGGTTCCCAATTTATGCCAGATAGAATTGTGCAGAAGACCTCTTGGCCATAGCTGTCACCTTCTGGGAAAGGCTAATTTAACATGAAATCAATTTGATAATAACACAAGGCTCAATTCACTATTGTGTGGCATACACCTTCTTTTGGGAAAATAAGATGATAAACCATGTGATTTGGCATGACAGAACATGTTACGTTGTTTTTGAACACTGTTCTTAAAGTATGGCTCACTTTTTCCAGGTCTAAACAATCTATGCATCCACAGCACTGGGAAATAAATAGGAATAGGAAATCAATAAGAAACTCCTTAGTGACACAAATATACAGTATATAATGACTGAAGAGTAGTTCATAGTGGTTTCCTATCACTTGATACACTTTGATCCACATTTGATGATTCATGGCCAAGCTGTGGGGAAGCCTGAAGGACTACTGTGGAATGTACAGTATATTGTGAGTTGGATTAACCTTTTCTCCCACCTTTGCAATGCAGAGGAAAAAATGCTAGTTTCCCACAGATAGGAGTTATTTTTACTAGGACCACATTACAGCAGGGAAATTTAATTTACTTCTTCTGACACAGTGGCCCTGACCCAAGTTGGTAGCTATGAGGATTACACACAAAACACAACATACAAATGCAAAGCATGTTATTAACTCTCAGAGATGAATATAAGAACTGAAAATATACAGAAGCCATGATGTTTGAGATGATGTAAAATGATATGAGGATTCTGTCTGTGCATGCAAGACATCATTTAATGTCACAGTGATAAGCTCTGAACTGTGAAAAAGAAAATGTTTCTGGGCTGGGGACAAAAATGTGACCTCATGCAATACTTGGATAGTATGATATGTTTGCTAAAAAATGGCTGCTGAGCAATTCCTTTTCTTCTGCTGTTCCTGTGCCCCAGAAAGAAACTACACCTGCTAATTCTCTATACTGTATACTTACTGTAGTGAAATGGTCCACAGTCAGGAAATGCCCACCACATCATTAACATGCAAAGTGGACTAATACAATGCTTTCTAAGTGAGGTTGATATTGATCAATATTCAGAAACAACAGCTGGCTCAGAATGGAGAAGCAAGAGTACTGACTGATATCTGCTGCATTAACTCATCCTAGTGATTTCCATTAACTCCCAGCAGAAACCTAGGTTGATGTCCATCAAAGACAGGACCAGTTCATGGTGAATTTGAGATTAATGGTCTTTTTCCAGGTGGGCTCCTCTCTTCTCTTCTTGAGAGCTTGTGGGGCAAGGAAAGTGACTGAAAATGTATGTATTGCTAATATTATTTTCCTGTAAATATTTTCATGATGTTTTGTGCATTATGACATTGCTGACTGCAGCGTTGGCTAGATTTTTAGTTGATTATATTTTTGTACTTTTAGGACTGCTTAGAGTAGGATCAGTTATTGTTTGATAGTTAATCATTGTAATTAGCTAACATGTACATTCCCTCTGTAGTTATCAAGAAGGGGACTTGAGTGAACAATATGATTGCAAGGAGAAGCAAGGATGGGAACTAGAATTTGTTGTATCAGTACTGCTTTGTTTGATGTAGAAATTAAAACTATTGGTATGCTGTTAACTTTGCTGCCTGATGAACTGAACACACAAAAAAATCTATCCTGGATCGAAACAAAGTTCCATCAGATCCAGAACTTTGTTTTTCATGGTGCCTGTCAAATGTCTTGAGGAAGGCCACATGTGAGACATGAGACCAAATGCCTTCTTGAGCTGTTGTTTTTCATGGATGACGTTTAGCCTCTCATTTTGGAGACAGTATGTTACCAATGAAACTATATGAATTTATCTAACCCCCTATTAAACTGTTTAAGATGGTAGCCTCTGCTATATATGATTTCTGAACTCTTACTCTGAAGTCAAAGAATTAACTGAACAATTCTACTAATCTAACGCCTTTCAATTTGGAAGAAGTACCCTTGACAGTAGCCATCAAATTGGCTAATGAGAGCTTTAATCATGGCATATAATCTGCCAGATACATTAATGGTATCATTTACGCTTCAGTTAATCAAAAAGAGAATACATTAGATACTTTAGATTATTAAAGATATTTAAATGCATTAAAATGTTTATTATGAGCTACACTGACAAAAGCATAATATTTTAAATGTCTCGGCTAGCAGCCACAAACTGTATTTCAAGCATGCTTTAAAGATTTATATCCAGTTAAATGAAGGAAAACAGAATGGGCATAGAAGATTTGGGTCAACATCAATTGATTTTTAGAATATAATTGGGGGGGGGGGCTTATCCTAAACTGCATTCTGGGCCTCCAGACTGTTCTGGCTGATATATAATCCCCATCCCCTCCCCCTCATTTGGGTTGTCTTTAAAATACAGGTTGTAGCTTATGAATAGGTAGGTATAATTCTCCCATGCCTTATGTGGAACTGAGGCTGGATCTTCTTATCTGCCTGATTTTAACCATGCTGGCTTGGAGATTATTGAAATTTGACACACCTGAAAAGTACCAATTTGGCAACATTGTCCAGCTATATAACTGATAGATTAAACAGCCTTCCAATGACCAGTAACAACAGGAAGAAGACATTTCCAAATTTAGCTCAATAAAAACCTTTCCTTAACAAGCATAGCTCTCTTTTTAAGAAAACTGGCATGGCTTTAAAACAACTGCCTAAGAATGGAGTTTGATAAAGTAGAAATTGGAATAATTTTGAAAAAAACAAACATGTCCCAATTACATTTTAATTCAGTTCCACAACCTACAATAATTCTTGAAATCCTAACACAGGAATGAGCAGTGTGTGATCTAACAACACAGTGAACTTCAAATCTTAGGAGCTTCAGTAAGAATGACCAATGGTGGAGGATAGTGGAAATTATAGTCCAGCAATATCTGAAGGATCACAGGTTGCCCACCCTCACCTAGAAGCTTCTCTAGTCATTGTGTATCTTCTGTAAATATGCACAAGAAGAGTCTCAATAAAGTTGTAATTCAAGCACTCAGAAAGTTAGCAAAATATGTAAACAGTAGCATGCAGTAATGGACCTAAAAAGTATTGAAGCACCTTCTGACTGCTCATAAATCAAATCTATGAGGGGTAAAAAAGCACCCTGAAGAAAGACAGGTGTAAAAATCTGTGTCCCAAGAAAATGACCTCATATACCGTAGCTATAGATGTCAGTACACCATAGAAATATTTCTTTCTGTTCTTTCAAGGCACCTGTCTTTATACCTACCTGCCTGACAAGAGCCAGCTGCAATGAGATATAGAGGATAATTTGGTGGTCTTCAGGTGCCAAGTGATGAGCTCTGTAAAACACAAATATTAATGTAGTTTATGCAGCACTGCAAACATTATCTACCCTAAATAAGGAGACTCAGGGACAGGTGAAAACTCTTATAGTCAACTACAAAGTAGTATCACCCATTTTAGTGATGTGAGAGGCTATTACATAGTAATACTTTGTTAAAACTTTACAAATTGCATCAGAAAAGTTATCTGATCTGAAAAGCCCATGTGGTAAAATAGAAAACATTTAAATTTGGATCACAAAGAACTGAGTTTCAGCACCCATTCAGCCATGGGGCAACTGTGGTATGTGAGAGCCAATTAATGTACATGGTTAAAACTCTAGCCTAGGGCTAGGAAGATTCAGGTTCAAGAGCCTACTTAACCATGAAGCTCTTTGAAATATATACAGTATCAGTCCTGTTGGATGGTTATTCAATTAAATGTGCTGTGAGAATTAAATGTGATGGTACCAGGGAGCTCATGGATGCTTACAAGTCTTAAAGGAAAGGGGAAATATCAGTGTGATGAACAAACAAACAAATAACAAGTATCACTTGAATATTAAAGCATAAAAAAGACCCCCAATAGATCAATCGAACAATTGTAATTGTTTCACACAAAAATTAATCTTCTGCAAAGTTCATAGGTAATATCTGAAGTCCCCCATTTTATTGGTTTTGCAACTAGACTTGAATGGCACACTGCCTCAATATATGGATGTACCATGTAGCTGTCATAGCTATGATCTGTTGGTGGATTTATCCACCATGATGCCTACATCTCAAGAAGAAGAATGAAATCCTTCTGTAATAAAGGAATATTAGTGAATTAGATGCTATAATGTCAGGTTCAATTTCTTGTGCTGTGACTGCATGGATAAATGTCTACCATCTTGACCTGTCTGGAGTAATAATGCTTAGCTCTTTCAAGGATATTCTGGTAATCTCTTTGTTCCTGTCAATCAGACTTATCCATTGGCTTCCAGCCGTACTTCCCTCAACCTTGCCAAGGATAATTTTAAAAAGTATGAAAAAGTATGTGAATTTCTGCTTACTGATCATCATTTCAAGGGAACAGTCACTTTTTCTGTGGTCCAGGACTGATTGATTGGCTTTTATTGCAATCCATGGTACTCTAAGTAATTGTCTCCAAACTCATAATTCAAAGGTGGATTTTTTCTAGATAGTTGGGAGGGTTTTTTTGGTAATTTTGTATAATGTGTGTGTATGTGTGTATGGGTATGCATCTTCTTTCATCCTTTATCTATATTCACCTTCCACACTGCCACTGAAACTGTTTAAATTATTGTGATTTTTGTTGCTGTTGAAATGTACTTATGTTTCATTATCTAATTGATCAATGTTTTCCTCCCTCAGATTAATTTCCTCCAGGACAACATCGATCTTGATATATTCTTAAACTCCCCCCAAAACAAAACTGTCTAGCACTTTTCACTTTTTCAGCTTTAAGTTCACTAAGCATGTTTGTTGGCATTACAGTTGTCATCTTAATATTTAACATTAACCTTGTTTTTTTCACTGTCCATTTTTATTTTCATAATGAACTCTTCCAAGTCTCTTTTGCTTTAGTTAACAAAATGGCCACCAACATATCTCACATTATTATTCCAATTGTCATGTCTTCCAATCTGCCATACTTATGATTGCTGTATAAGTTAAAGAGATGTGGGAGAATATATTTCCTTCTTTCCTTCTTTTCTCTATTGGGAACTACTCTGTTTCTCCAAATTCTGTTTTTACAGTAGCTTCTTGTTCACTATAAAGATTCCATGGAAGAATAATCAAATGTCCTAGTACACCAATTAGCCTTAATATGGTCCATGTTCTAGTATGATCTAAATAATCAGTCTTTGTTGTAGTTAATAAAACAAAGATAAAACTCTTCTTGTATTCTCTTTTTTTAAATAAGAACTTTATTAAGTTATAAAAAGCATAAAGATAAAAGCAAACAAGAAC